AGTGGCCAGCTTCCACAGCTGCGCTGCTTGCAGTGGCCAGGGTCTAATGAGGGTGTGTTGCTGCAAGCGGCGAGCTTCCCACTCCTACGCTGGTTGCAGTCAAGGCCCTGTGCTGCTGCAAGTGTAGAACTTAGAGAAGGAAGTGGCCTTTCCAAGTTGACTCACCCTTTTGTGGGCCACGCAGGGGTAAAGCCACTGGAGGGTAAAATTTAGAGAAGGAAGTGGCCATGCCCAGTTGACTCACCCTTTTGTGGGCCATGCAGGGGTAAAATTTAAATTTAGAGAAGGATGTTGCCATCTCAACTTGACTCACCCTTTTGTGGGCCATGCAGGGGTAAAATTTAGAGAAGGATGTTGCCATCTCAACTTGACTCACCCTTTTGTGGGCCATGCAGGGGTAAAATTTAGAGAAGGATGTTGCCCTCCCAAGTTGAATCACCCGTTGGTGAGCCACTTGAGGGTAAAATTTAGAGAAGGAAGTGGCCATTCCAAGTTGACTCAAAAGAATTTAAGCCGGAGGAACACCTAAAGCACCCCTAAGGACTAGAAACCGAGCCCAAAGAAACCCGAAACCAGTGAAACCCAAAGACAACCGCAAAGAAGTCCGTATAGTGAGTGGGATACCTTTTCTGTTCCCTCCCTTTCTCTCCCTTTCTGATGCTCCTAGTGCTTGGAAAGCACTCCCAGCAGAAGCCAAAACAAAAAGTTTCCTCCCTTTCTCTCCATCACGCTGGCTTTGGCGCTTCGTCCCCTGCCCTTGCACTTCCAGCAGAAGCCAAAGCAAAAAGCAAAAGCAAAAACAGTAGGGGAAAAATGTGACAAAAAATCCGGAAACAAATTGAAAATTACTTTAGTTCGAGTGATCCCCACCATGACATTTCAATCATTTGTCTTGATGCCATAGTGAGGAGCATGTTGCCATAGTCGTTAGTATTGTAGTTCTCGATGTTGCTTGTGGGTCCTCGGGTTGTGTGCTGTGGTTGTGTGCTGTGTTGTGGTTGTGGTTGTGTTTGTGGTTGTGTGTTTGCGGTTGTGGTAGTGGTTGTGATTGTGTGTTTGTAGTTGTGGTTGTGGTTGCGGTTGTGTCTTTGTGATTGTGTGCTTGTAGTTGTGGTTGTGGTTGTGTCTTTGTGATTGTGTGTTTGTAGTTGTGTTTGCGGTTGTGTGTTTGTGGATGTGTTTGTGTTTGTGTTTGTGGTAGTGGTAGTGGTTGTGATTATGTGTTTGTAGTTGTGGTTGTGTCTTTGTGATTATGTGTTTGTAGTTGTGGTTGTGGTTGTGGTTGTGTCTTTGTGATTGTGTGTTTGTACTTGTGGTTGTGGTTGTGTGTTTGTGGTTGTGTTTGTGGATGTGTTTGTGGTTGTGTTTGTGGTTGTGTGTTTGTGGTTGTGTGTTTGTGGTTGTGTGTTGTGTGTATGTTTGTGGTTGTGTGTTTGTGATTGTGTCTTTGTAGTTGTGTTTGTAGTTTTGTGTTTGTGATTGTGTTTGTAGTTGCGTGTTTGTGATTGTATTTGTGATTGTGTTTGTGATTGTGTGTTTGTGGTTGTGTGGTTGTGGTTGTGTGTTTGTTGTTTTGTGTTCGTGGTTATGTGTTTGTGATTGTGTCTTTGTAGTTGTGTGTTTGTGATTGTGTTTGTGATTGTGGAATTGTGGGTTTGTGATTGTGTTTGTGGTTGTGTGTTTGTGGTTGCGCGTTGTGGTCGTGTGTTTGTGATTGTGTCTGGTTGAGGTCCAGCGGTGCACACTGCGATCGGATCCTTGCGGTTGAGGTCCAGGGGTGCACACTGCGATCGGATCCTTGCGGTTGAGGTCCAGGGATGCACACTGCGATCGGATCCTTGCGGTTGAGGTCCAGGGGTGCACACTGCGAGGGGATCCTTGCAGTTGAGGTCCAGGGGTGCACACTGCGATCCGGAGCTGGCCAGACAAGATCGGCGAAGCAGATTGGCGAGGAAGGAAGCAAGGAGGAAGGAGGAAGGACGAGGAGGCGGCGGAGGCGGAGGCGGAGGCGGAGGCGGAGGCGGAGGAAGGACAGCTGTGATAAAATCTAACAACCCTCACCTGGCAGGTGGGGAAAAATTACCGGAAAAAATGTCAATCCTTTCCATTGTGAGGTCCGACTGTCGTGTTTTGGAAATCCTTCTTTGACGTCGTGAGTGCCTAGGTTGCTCCCCTTGCAAATTTGCTGAATTTGGGATTTATATCAGTTACATTTCTTACGAAAAGGTTGTTGTTCCTTCCAAAGGCCACAAGGCACCTCAAAGCAAAGTCTTTTTGCGATGGCGTCAAAGTCGCCATCGCGTTCAGTGACACATGGGCGTGAGTCAATTGGCCTCTGGCATCCGGTGATACACTCCTGAAAACTAACATAGACCCTGACAATGGCCCCCTGGAGGAGTGTTTTCCTCTGCCAACCAGTGGTTTTCAGGGTCCATGTTAGTCTTCCAGGGTGTATCATTTCAGTAACAGATCTGGGTCAAAACGTAGACCCAACCGCATGGTCGGTGTTTTTCAATTTCTTAACGGAGCGTCCACTCCGTTCATCTTCAAGAGTAATCCAGGAGCAGTGTGAAACTCAGTTCCATGTTTCTTGCAGTGGACCCGCAAACAGCCACCCCTCTCGCTTCCCGCAAACCTAAAAAGTCTTGACAGCTTCAGCACATTAAAAAAAAATAAACAACTCATCAGAACAACCGTTTTTGAGGAATAGACCAAGCTGCACAAAGCTCTCATGACGATTGAGTATACAATATTATACAATTAATTTTCTATTTGAACAACTGAACAGACCCAAGCAAATATACCCGAGGCCGAAAGCATCAAGGACGAAATCGTGACATGCATGTTCCGTGTGAAGCTGACCAGTTACCTGTCCTACCGAGGCCGGCGCTTAAGGACCAGCTTGCCGAGGGCATCCGCATGATGTTTGTATTGCACAGATACTGGTCGAAAACAACTCCGGTCAGACCGGGACCAGAGGATCACACCATCTCACACCCATCTCCATCGTTTGAATCCTGTCTCGGCGTCGCATGCCGGATCAATCGTGACAAGACTTTATCAGATCATGTCAGTTCGCACACGTACAGAATCTGGTTACTGCTGCACCTGTCAGCAAGTGTGCAATTTCTGAGCTGATATGAACTTGCTACGTCTTGCTACCATGTCAATGTGATTCTTTTTTACTCAGCATATTCAATCATATCGAATAAATCATTATGATGTTTGCTGTTAGTTTAGTTGCTTTCGTGATGCACTCCAGCTGCCCAGACATCTGGTGTCCAACCTGCCGCCAGCGCATCGAGTGGCATCGAACATCCTGCCTGAAGCTGGACCAATTGGTGCACATCATCGGGCCCCGAGCCCAAAATCGAAAGTTCAATAGTTCAATTCCTTCTAAACATGTTTGGGATGTCGTGAAGCTGATCGTTTCTGTTTGTTTGGGAACCCCTTTTTTTGCAGGGGTCTCGAAGTGTATGAGATTTTTCTAGTACCCTGCAGGGTGTTGTAGCCCAGGTGTTATAGAACCGTTTCATCATCAACAGTTTGTCCGCCATCCAAACGTAACAAATTGGAGCTTTGGTGGTCAGGTGGGTTGCCCATGGTTGCCCAGAAGCTTTGGTGGTCGGCCAGCTGGGTTGAGGTGCTCCACGGGTGAACATAGCTGCTTTGAGCTTCCTTGCTCCTAGTAGAAATGTCCTTTGCTCCTAATAGCTTCCTTGCTCCTAGTAGCGATGCCAGGAGCCCCTAGTAGCGTCATTCATGCACTCGATTCGGCAGACGTCCTCGAGGCACTGGACGTCCTCCAGGCGCTGGTGTTCCCCTACCTAGATTCCAACGATGAACAACAGATGAACTCATTCCAGAGCTGCAGGGTGTGACGGAAGACTTGTCTTCAGCCGCTCAGACCGGCGCGACAGCTGAAGATCCGCTGAGAGGAGCGAAAACAAAAAGGCTTTGGAGCTTGAGGAATCCAATTAATGCTTATTCTTGACGATGTAATCATTTGTATAGAGGGTAGACTGTAGACTTTCCCATTTTTGGCAGCCGTCACTTGCGAATCATCAACTTGCCTTTCGATGGTGCTTGGAGAGATCAGCCAGAATTTCCCATACCCTAGAGTTCCTTTCCCGAACGACCATTGTTTTGCTATGTCTTGCTAAGGACTTCAGATAGATATATATATATTACATAATATAATATATTTATAATATAAAACCAGATCAACCATTAAATTGGCCTTGGAGTTCCATGTGTAGCACAGGGTTCAGTCGGCTTGATGCTGTGAACCTGTAGATTAACCCGGTTTTGGTTAGCATGTTGACAAACCTTCATGCCTTAGTCTTTCACTCCCTTAACCTTCGTATACGCGGACAGCAAGGCATAGCTCACGGGGTGATTCTCAAATTATAGCGAGTCAGTCGCCGTCCAGTGCATTGGCTTCCTTAGGCTACCACTAAACCATGATGACTCAGCAAAGTTGCCAATGTCCTGTGGCGGAAAGGTCTATGCTTGAAGTTTGGAGTTCCACAGTGACCAGTTGCTGGCATTGTGCATGAATGACCCATGCACTAGCGAGCTACTTTCACGGTAAAGAACCGGTTGTGAGTTTATTTCTATAATTAGTGCCGTTGCTTCAAAGCTCCAATGAGTCTCCGGTCCAGTACTTGGTGCAAGAAACATGGACAGAAATAGTGGTGGCCACTGGAAAAGGATGGGATGATGGATGAAATCTCTGCAGAAGTCCTTCAGATATCCAAACTGAAAGCCTCCAACCCAAATGTAATGGCCTCCAGCCTAATAGCAATGGCCTCCAAAGCATGTCAAGCCAATTAATGTCACGTTTTCAACAGCTGCCATGGTATTGGGCACTGGCATAGCGGTCGACTTTGGCCAGGGCATTGGAGACTTCGGTTGAAAGGGCATCGGCGGCATCGTCGCCTCATCGGCTTCCGCCAGGGAGTTTCGCTGCATGAGGAACTGAGGAACGGAGTCGACAGGTCTAGACCACCTGTATGGTCCGTTAGGAAGGGCACACACAGGTCTGTCAGGGCCCAAACTGAGTGGTGCTGGGAGAGTGGTTTTCTCCTTTCTTCTTTGAAAGCTCATCCCAGTGCCGCGGTTCTTAAGTAGGATGAGCCACGATTTTGCATCACGTGCAGTGGTGTTGTGTATTTGTTTGTTGGCTTCATAGCTTGAGAGGAGTTGTACAATTTCTCCTGAGATCAAGACTGTTAAGATCTATTACTATTACGCATACTTTGTTTATGTCTTTTTGCGCCCCAACATTTTTGGTGCTCTTCTTGCTTGTGTGCGCCCTGCCAGTGCGCAGAGTGAGGCTACTATGTTGGAATTTTTGCTTTTCTACTGCCCCTTGGCTTCTTTCAGCGGTTGGAGGCCATCGTTATTGGGTTGGAGGCTATTGCTATTAGAATGGAGGCCATTGCTATTAGGTGGAGAACCTCACTAGGAACCTCAAGGAAAGGATTGGCTATTATATAGGTCAAGCAGCTTTGCTGCTGGAGGGAGCCACGGAACAAACTGGTCCAACTTGGCTCCTGGAAAAGGATGCGTCAGACGTGTAAATGGTCAAACACACTGACGGAAGCCCTGCCATCCAAGATGTTCAAATCCACTGAGAGTCAGAGGTTTCAATGTGGTTTGTCGCACAGTGGATCCGCTGGGTGGGTTGGATCGGACCTGAACGAGGTGGTTGGCCCGGTTTGCGGGGTGGTTGGTTCCCGTTCCACGGCGGAAGCTACTGTATAGTCCACTCAAGCTGCTCAAAGTTATGCATCTTCAAGGTCCTCTGGCTGCTAACGCGCCTATGGGACCTGATGATCATCTTCTCAATTCTGTGCACCTTAAAGAGGCTACTGGGCGACCAAAAGGCCTGAGCAAAGTGCAAAGAAAGGGGTTAATGTCAACCTCATGTGGGCGGCACACCCTGTTGGTGAAGACTTTCACTGGCACCTTCAACAGAACACCTATAGCGTTGTGTCTTCAGGAATTAAATGGATCCAGGGCGGGCGGCTCCGGCGACAGAAAACCCCGCCACCTCAATGCTGAGTCAAAAGCCTCCTGAGCCCGAGGTTCTTTTTCTCCCTTTGGAACAGCATCATGGCCTTCACATTTCTGGGCCCTGCCTTGGTGACGGCCTTCCACGAGCCAACTGGATGGAATCTTACGAAAGTCGGCCTGGCCCTGATCTTCCCGCATGTGGCGGTCGGATTGATCATGCCGACGGTGCTAGGTGGGGCCGGTTCGGAGATCGAGACGCAGACGATACCATGGATATCATGGCACAGCATGTGTTCAATCCAGATGCAGCACACAAAAAAAGTACAACTGACACTGACACAAGCTTTTTAAAGATACACTTAATATTGCCTCATTGACTTTTTCCAGAGGTGAGACGAAGCCAAATCGCCCTGCAGGGGGAATTGGTCTAGGTCTCCTTACCCTTTGGCCGCATGTCTTTGCCTGCTACCGGATCAACCGAAAGCGAGCTGCCAAGCCACGGCCGCCACCAGAGCCAGATCCAGGCGCGCCGCAGCCGCGTGTCGCGTGCTCGGAAGGTCGGATTCTATCGGAAAAAGGTAATTATAGTACTATCAATCACATAATATACGAAGTCGAACATGAACGAGGTCAAGAGATCAACTCCTAAAACAGACTCTTCAAGCCATGGCCACCATAGTCTACAGCAACAGATTTGAGACCCTTAAAAAGAAAGCTTCATGCTTCATGATTCAAGTCAAAAGCGCAAAACCATGGTACCACAAGCAACCTGGAAGAACACTTGCCACAACCCGTAAGTGCCTGCATAGTCCTTCCGGGGCGATATAGATCGTGGGCTCTCATTGTGGAGCCTGGGACCAACCATAGGCAGCAACGATGCACCTGATTTGTTGATATATGATTGATGGCCAGTCGTTTAGCTAGCGATACCAAGCAAGCATTGGATTTGACTCATGTTACTCATTGCAATTTGCTTGATTTGGGGAAGACATGCACGAGTCCGTCTTCCAGTTCGAGAAGGACCAGTCCGGTGACCAGTCCGTGTTTTCCAAGGTGGAGTGGACCACGACTCGCTGAGAATCGCTGGAGGTTCCATGCAATCTGAGGGAAGGTTGAACGACACAGGGGGGAACGGAACGCCAACGCCTGGTGATTTAGAGAGTTCTGAAAGCAGTCTATTCAGACAAAGAACGCCGAACGCCGAACGCTAGCTTGAAAGTTCATTGGAAAACTTCCATGCACATAGAGCCACTGGAAGGAGGTTGGAGGTTGAGGGCCTGGAGCCTATGGACTTTAGGTGGAAGTGTGTTGTTCCAGGATACTCTGTCACAGAGTTCTTTCTGCTTAGGAGCTGTTTGCACATCGTGGCAGTAGAGGGATTGTTCCAGTTCCAAAAACTGTTTTTGTGGGGGACCACCCTATGTTTCTTTCGGGACATGTCAGACATGTCACATGAATCATGACAAGCAGATGCGGAAGCATTGAATCACGAAAACCAGGTGTTTTTGCATTGTGTTAACCAGGGATAGATGACTTTCGGGAACGGCAAGCCCCAGACCTTTGGAGTAATCAGCGGCAGACAACAAGTCATTGTGTGACCGATGCTTGTCAGGAAAATGGAAACAGAAACATAGATTGATCATTATTATATAGAGATAGGTCCAGGTGTATAGTATTACATGATTATGTAATATTCAACATATTTTATTATAGTTATTCAACATATATTCTATCACATATATATATATATGTATCATATTTAGTTACATATACTGTAGATATATAATGTTGCCAGCGCTGCGATGAACGAGACTTGTTGAATGTCCATTTAGGATCTAGGTATTTAGGTGCTATAGTAGGCCACCCATGGTTCCAACGACCTTCAGCTGCAGGAAGGAATCCTGCACCTGTATACTTGGTTGTGCTGATTGGATGATTTGTTCTTTTCCCTGCAGGTGAATCCCATTCTGGACATATTTTTGTCCTGCATCCTTGAGAAAATCCAAGTATATATATAGTATATATCATTGACATGAAAAAGACATGGTGCCTGGGTCATCCAGTCATCCAATGGGTGTCCTGGCTACCCAGCCCACTGCTGGACTGGACCTCCAGCCAAGACACCCAGACAGGATGATCCTGGTATGTCTTGTCACTGGATGATCCCATTGGTGTTATTTCACTGTGTGTGTGCCCTCTTTCTTCGACTAGGATGTGAATGTCTCAGCCTGGAGTCACAATCCACACACCGCCGACACCTCGGTTTGTGGGATCATTCACCTAGGATCAGCTTCAGGGGATGAACACCGGATGGCGAGGGCAACACAACCCCACGAAAACGAACAGATGGATGTGTTGCCCATCGACCTCGACTCGCGGGACCTCGGCGATTCGTTCATGTCTATTGAGGGTCAACAGGGTGAACCGTGCAGGCTTCAGATGGATGAACCGTGCAGGTCATTCGAATGCAGTCATTCGTCTCGAGTGAGTGACAACACAGATGGACGTGACATGAGCCAACCAAAACGGGTCCAATAAGCTTAAGGGAAGCACACTCAGACCACTGGTGGTACCAATCCGAGGCCATGGTCATGGTGATACTCCAACACCTGCGGGGCCCATCGTTGTGGAGGCGGGCCTTGTTTGGTTGACGGAGGGAGGACCTAGCAAAAGGTGGCTAGCCAACCGCAGCCACCAGCGTTCGGAAGCTTACGGATCCTATTGAAAGCTAGATTTCTTCAAAGAATTCTGAACCCAAACAAGGAGCTTTGCGTTTAGGGTACCCCGAGCTATGCAACTGGCATTTTTGAGAAATCCGGCAGCACGTGAGAGAAAGGATCTTCCCTTCCCAACTTCGTCAGAGTGGAAGACTCCCATTTTGCACTGCCGTCCATCCAGCTGACACGCAGGAATAGTGTCATCCGTACGGTCCGTACGTGTCCCAACAAGTGAATGTAGCATGGACCGTCCATCGGCTCTGCGGTTTTCCCCGAGCCAGCTTTACTCATCAAGAAGACAATAATTTCTTATTGTTGAAGCCCTGTCAGAAGGCACAAAGTGGTTTGCACGTGTGTTTTGCCCTTGTGGGTGAAGAAGAACACAACTTCATTTACAATCATTAATCTACCCACCGTTTCGACCGTTTCTCCGCGTGGTGACCAGGCCACAGTGGTAGGAGTTGAGACCACGGAGGTGAGCCACCAAACCAATGAGATCAGCAATGAGCCAGTGCCAGCAGCTGAAGTGCACGGCTGCTTGATAGAAGATGCCAGTGTCTTTTGGTTGTCGTTTTTTTGTTATCCCTTAGTGGTCAGGTTGCTTTCAGAAATCCATCCAGATTATTTTTGAAGCAGTTGGAAGTTCGAAGGGTTGAAGTGTGGATTCCACTCTTCCCAACATGAACACCCCAGTTGGGGTCCCATAACAAACAGATGAGCGATTTTGGGTGGTTTTTTGATTGTTTTAGCATTTGGCAAAGGTATCATGTGGATGTTTGATGTGCTTTAGTTGGGTTGTCGTTGGTGTATCCAAACTGCTCCCTGCCAGTCGTTGCCGTTGCCGAGAAGAAGGAGCTCTTCTGAACTTTGCGCCGAAATTGGAACAAGGAAGGCCACTGGAAGATGTACAGTAGGTTTGATACTTCCTTTCACTTCGGAAACTATGAGCTTTCTTGAACAGCCAGGCTGTTTTGGGTACAGCTTTCGCACCCAGCGAGGTCAAGTCGACCGGCGCTCCCTCCAAGAGGGAGCGAAGTCCGGCGATCCGATGCATGCCAAGCACGGTCCAAACTGCGCGGGCGCGTCGTACAGCAGAGGTTTCGCAAGTACTCTACGTACTGTCTATATCATATGAGGATAGTACACATGATAATTACGTTGCTTATATTCTCCATCATTCTCCTTCTTCGATATTTATTCTCCAATCGTCTACCCTTTGAGGGGCGTATTCTACCGGCACGTTTCAGAGTCTACGAGCTCTTCTTCGGTCGCACGGTGCGTCTGACTTGGCACGTGAGAGCAGCCAAGTTCGCTGTCGGGTCACTTCTGTCGATGGTGTGGACCACTTGAGTTCCAACCTTCTAATTATATAGCCTGTTGAGCCGCTTACTTTTTTGACAGGAAAAGATCCTGTTTTGGAAGGTTGATCCTCCAAAAACAGGGGTCACTCGCGTTCTAGGCATATAGTGCTGGCTGCAGTTCAAGTGTGGGACACTTCAGTGGAACGAACTGAAACTTCACCTGTTCACTATTCAGTTCCACTGCATGGGTGCGCTGACCTTATGTGGTTTTCACGAAGGTTTAAGCTTAGGCCACGTCTAGTTGGATGGGCCACGTGCTTTTGCGATGGTTAGCCAAGAGACCGTCTCCGGCTCGAGCCAATGTATTTGCCAGTTGGCGAATGGCGCCAGTGTCATATGTCCCTGAGAAAATGGGCAGAACAAGAACAACAAAGGAGTGCTTATTATGCTTATAGTTTTTTTTGGCTCCCTGAAGCAAGCTCAAAACATCTCGAAACTGTCCATCTTCCCATCTAACGCCCAGCAACCAAACAAGTGCATTCACCATTAATAGGCTGAGATTCGGCCCTCGCGCCCTTTTGATCTTGTTGACCGGACTCGCCTTGTTTTGCGACACTGGCAGACTTGACTTGGAGTCATGGTCATGGGGGTGTCGGAGGGCGTTTTGGTCAACCTGGAACGTGGCCTCCCGTTTTATATTGGAATCTTCTTCGGTTCCATGTCGCTCGGCAGCGGGAGTCCCAGAACGGGCCGGGAATCTTCCACCTGCTGCGGACGGCACAGTGGGGCACGGTGGTCTTTTGGAAAGAACGACGGGGCCCGTGCATCCCAGGAAGGGAAGCGACAAAGACGAAGCCACCAACGAAGCCACCAGACTTGGTTTACATTGCGGGGAGCTGCGCCCTCCCCCGCGCCCCACTGATTTTGAAGGGGATCAAACAACCTAAAACAACAAAGCAACCCAGGAAGGCATACGACCTTGGAATGGCACCTTCCTCCTCTAAATTTGACCCACGAACCGGTATGACATCGCATGCACGCTACATATCAACAAACTTCTATCGAACACCGGAGTCTATTCCCCAGTGCGAAAGGAGCCGAATCATGTGTTCCAGAAATGAGCCGAATCGTGTGTTCCAAAATGAGCCTCCTCCCTCAGGTGACAATACTCTGGAAATCTCCGGGATTCCCATCCTGAGTCGACTAGTTTCGGGCCACACCCCGCAAACAAAAGCACTTATCCACATCTACCGCATACGTCCGTATACCCTTTCAGAAGCTGAAACCTGATTTCTGGTTTCTCTTGGTTCCTGCACCCAGTTCCTGCACCCGGCAGCGTTATAAGGCTCTTTTTCTTGGGTTGGAATGCCCTCAACTCCTTCTTCTTGGTGGGTCCTGCCGTGGCCACCTATGTGCACCATCGCACCAGCGGAAATCGGAAGAACGCTCTGACGGCCGTGCTCTTTCCCGCCAATTTGATTGGATTGGTCGTGCCAGCGCTTCTAGGCCGGGGCTCAGGGCGGGCGAGTGTGGAGAGCCATGTGGAAGGTGCCATGCCGTTTTTCGAGAGCCAGGTCCTTCGGATCAAAGGGATCTAATCGAACGAAGGATTTTTTTTTAGACTTTGGGATCCGACTGGTGGGACTCCCGCTTTGGGTGACACCCACTCTTCAGCTCGGACAGGTCTCGGTCCGCTGGTGGGACAGGTGGGTGAACGAAAGACGGAGGATGCGCGTCCCATCTGAAGAGGTTTTACCATCCACTGTCGGCGGGGGATTCTAGATTTTACAATCCACTGTTTTACAAACCCCCATTCTAGATTTAATCAGGTCATTAGGAGGGATTGACCTAGGAATTACGTACATTTGGGAATGGCATCTTTGGGAGGAGCCTTTTGCTTTGACAACGCAACACACAAAGACTGAATTACAAAGACATCCAAAGAACACAAAATAACTATGGACTTGATTGGACTCACATTCCTATAGAAACCGTGCCCCGATCCGGCCTTTTAGCCTCAAAGCAAATGTGGCGCATGATGACGGGCGTCTTCAACGCCAAAAGAACGTAGGAATCTTAACTTTTGTAACTTGCCCAAACAGAAGAAGACATTTGAGCAGTGGTAATGTACTTGAGAAGTAGCAATTTGAAGAATAGCTTAATTAATGCGGTATGATACCTTCAAGAAAGCAAAACATATCAAAACATCCGCGGAGACCTTCACGAAGACGAGCACCACGAGCCCCGAGCCCCGAGGCGGACTCATTCTGTTTCTGGTGACGACCTGGCCATATCCCGTGGCCTGCTACACCTTCTACCAGCGTCAGAGAGCCGCGGCTCGTTCACCGGATGCAGGCGCTGGCGGGGTGCACGGCTCGGACCGAAGAGGGTGCGAGTTCGTGGAGGAAGCCTCGGGTTTTCGAACGCGTGGAAAGCTGGAGTTTCGTCATCCAGTCAGTTGTTCGATCCTTTTTGGTCCCTCAAATGATCCCCCTTTACAGGCCCAAGTGACCTCGAACCATGGGATCAAATTTCAATAGGTCACTTTGAAGAACCAGGATGCCCCTAGAACTTCTCCCGCAAGCAGGAGGCTCCACCAGCGTCTCATCTTACAATCAGGACGATTTCTTGTGTTGTTTCCAGAAGGGTGTCGTTTTCTTCCATTTGTCGTTTGAAAAATACATCATTCGAATACCCCTCCAAAGGTGACCATCAATGGCCGCGACCTTCAAAGGTCATGACCGTCGACATCGTTGTTTGTCCATCGTTGTCTTGTCCCAGTCAGACCCAGTCAGTCCATGTCCAGCGGGAGTTGTTGCTCACTGCTCCAGTCGAGCCAGGAGTCTGGCATAGTCTGAAGAGGGTGTGAAAATGGTGTTCAGGTTCTGGACTTGTTTGAGGACGCATGATCACATAGATACTGTGCTTGAGAGTCGTGGGGTTGTGCCCTGCTGCCGGTTACTTAAGTCAATGTTGAATCTTAGGGTTCAATCAGATTTTATTTCTTTAAATAGTCTTTGTTAGGAGAGATGAGTTTTCAGAAAGAGGTGTTGATTTACAAACCAGTGTGAAAAAGTATCGTTTCAAAGGATCAAGCAGCATTGGAACTGCGCCTTTCTCCACAGAGTCCTGTAGCCTGTGACCCGAAATCAGTGAGTTTGTTTCTTCTTGAACACCCCCTCTACAATGCATATATAATCACACATAGATGATTGACATGCAACAGGAGCTTTTGTTCTTTTCGTTGAGCTTTCAGCATTGAGCATCAAAAGCCCCCCCTGGTCAAATGAATCCACCATGCCCGCGGTCCTTTGAAAGGGGTCCTTTCGCCCTCTGACTCAGCTGTCGCAGAAGAGCCACCTCCGGTCGCAGCTGGCGCGGAGGCCGCCAACGGGATCCCCGGAACGGCAGATCCCGGGCCCCTCGAAATTCACCGGTTCCAAAGGCGAGACGCATCAAAAACACCGGTACCACACCATATAGAACATCCTAAAAGTTTAAACATATTTAAACATAATGACCTAGTGTAATGACTTGTCATACGTCATAAGCCCCTGACACATAGCGGATCATAGTGGCATGAAGATATCTTTGACTCCGCCGTTCGACCCAGAGAGCTTTACCTGTCTCTCCTACGTGCCACAGCAAAACCAGAGAGTGACAGCACGAAGCAGGGCGACAGGAGTGGCGGAGTGGCGGGTGTGTCGGGGACGACGACGGGGCATACAGTGGTGACGACAGGTCACCAGTGGCGGCAGGTGTTCTCGTGACGACACGGGACACACGCGACAAGGCATTTCGATGACCATCCATGGAACTGGAATAGTTATAATATATATATATATATTTCTTTGTGCTCATGAATGAGGTGTACGATGTATGTCACTATTCCATGGATGGTCTGGGATAATTACCTCATATCCGTTCCACACTATACCTGAAGAATCCCTTAGCATCAAAGCCCACACCATCAGTTTACCCAAGTCTATCAGCTCATGCGTCTGGAAAGGCACGAGCATGTCCCATCCACAGCCACGGCCGCGAGGCGAAGGTCGTGGGTGTGGTGGATGGCGAGAAGGAGGAGACCAATGAGACGAGCCAGAAGTAGAAGACCAGCAATGCACCAAACGAGTCTCAAGCGCCCGCAGTGCAAGGTGCAGCGGAAACCAAACTGTTTTGCCGTGGATTTTTGACTGAGATGAATCAAGGGATGGAGTCAGAAACAGTAATTAGCTGTTTGTTAGCCATTTGCGTTTACGTTTACAACAAGCAAAGGTCACAAGGTCCCGTCCTAGGCCCTTTTGACTCGATGTGCACTGAGGAACATGATGATACACGATGAAACAGTACATGTAAAACTGGTTTTTGATTGATGTCCTCCTTGTTTCCTTTGGTAGCAAGAAGCTACGAATTAGGTGGAGGCCATCGCTATTAGATTGGAGGCCATTGCTAGTAGCAAGAAGCTATTGTTTCTAGACTTTGAGTCGCACGTGGTTGATTGTTGGATGCGGCTTGCACGAGCTGTCGATTTGCTTTGGTGTTCTGTGGCTGAAGGATGCTGGGGGCGCTCAAGTTGGAGTTCCTTTGCCAGTTCTTTCTGAGTGTTTTTTTGCATCATATTCGATTGTTGCCAGTTGTTATCGCTTGTTGCTGCCTTGCAAACATGGGTTGATTCTTTTCAAGATGTCCGTTCAAACATGGACGTTGGATTCCCCTACCTAGTGATAGGACACGCCGGCACGCAATTGATTGTAGACCTTGTGCCTGAAGGAAGTTCAGGCTGCCTCAAAGACTACTTCCAATGAACCCTGTTGGACTACAGTTGCTGCATGCCTTGGCAGGGTGCAACAGTTTAGTCAATGTATATGCTCGTTGCTCTCGCGCTGTCAGGGGTCAAGATTGACGAGAAGCAGGACAACATGTCAATCTGAGTTGAACATGTCACTGCAAGAGTCAATTGAGACGCAAGTATAGATCAACAGGTTGTATGTGTTGCCAATGCCAATGCTGCATTGGGTTTTTCTTTGGTTGGCCCGATGGAGCAGGATGTCTTCATCGTGCCCACGGACAGTTTCTGCAGAAGGCCAATTTAGTTGTGCCATCACCAGTTTTTGTTCTGCTCTTCGCATCGTGCGTGAGTTTTGCTGCACTCTGCCGAAAGGTAGACTGGGCCAGCACTCGCCAATTGCTTTGAGAATGTACAAACGTCTGGTCAGTTCACGGGTCCCGCTGCAGAAAGAATCGGGTGTGGTCCCTTGCTTCGACATCCGATCCCAGTTTTCAGACACTGTTTCTCCCTAGTTAGACCTCCAAAGAACACCATCATGATGCATTTCATCAGATACTTGATTGTGGGGACACCATTCTTCTATGCAACTGGTCACGCTTTTTGGCATTGATCCAGGCCGCGGACCGTCGTGATCTGCACAAATCCGCACTCTGAAAGAGTCTGGATCAAATCAGCGAAGCTCGCCCAGAGGCGACAGTGGACCCTTTCACGCGTCCTGCTACATGGCTGGTTCGGTCCATTTCCCCCGTTGTGATGGGTCCAAAGCCCGAGCCCAGAGGCGAAGAAAACATAGGAGTCCAGACTGGCACCGGTTTCGGTCAGCGATGAGGTCTGCTCAAAACCGTGAATCTATGTGTCCGCTAGCCGACGATTGGTCGTTGTTTGCTTAGAAGTAGGCAGTTGTTCACTGCATCCGTTTCACAAGGTTTTCCAAGCTCCACTCGGAGGACGATCGCTTTCCATACCCTGTATCCTGTGGCTCAGTCAGATGTGACCAAGAAGTGGCGAGTCAATCACGAATTGATCGGGCGAGTCAGTGGCGAAGATCCGGCCGGTTCAAAGGTTTGCCCGCAAAATGAACTCTTTGGGTCATATATCACAGATGTTTTGCTATCATTCCTGAGAAGAAGGCAGGAGAAGAACGACAAATGATGATCCAATCGGTGATGTTATCTGCCTTTGCTGTTCTTCAAGGCAACTCTTTAAATCAAATTGATTGAACCTGTCTCTCTTTTTTCTGGCAAACACCTTAGGCTGAGCAAACCAGTACGTTCACCTTGGGCTTCGGCCCGCCGAAGCCGTGGTCTAACGCTCACAGCAGAACGAACTCTCGCCGCGATGGTGGTGTTCGAGGGCGTGGTTCTCAACCTGGAACAGGGTCTCGCATTCTATGTTGGAATGTTCTTCTTTTTCCTGTCGCTCAGCTGTGAGGATCGTCCGGCAGTTCGGGATTTGGTCGAGGAGAAGCGGACGTCTAGGGGTGGTCGAAAAGGGCCGGATGAGGAGAAGCGGACGGGCGTCCGAACAAGAGCTGCTGGATGGCTGGCTCAGCAAAGTGTCTTTGCTCAAGAACCCCTGCACTTCAAGAGTGCCGTGTCACCCTGCAAAGATGCAACATGCACCTCTTCTCTTGGGCAGTGACCTTGCTTCCAAAATGAGAGTTACCCTCTAGGCCATTTGGACAGTCACACTGGGCATCGGATGTCATTCTTAGCCATTGCATCACTGCTTCATGATGTTTTGATCGCAAAAAGCACACTTCTTCTACTTCTGCCCTCGCCAGGAGCCCCAAGAAAAGGGCACCCAGGGCCTAAGGCTAGTCCTGAGGGCATTTGTGTAGTCTTGTAAGGCTAAATCGCCAACCACAAGACCACCCAGTGTGTGCTTCACCGGCGCGTTCGGGACCTAGGGAGCTGGTTGACTCGGTTGTTCTAGAAGGTGGGAGGTGGAATCCCGACTCCGGGCAGCTCTGAGGTTCTTCTTCTCAGTGTGGAATGGCATCATGGCATTCGCGATGGTGGGCCCTACCTTGGCAAAAGCACTGCGCGATCCAACCGTGGCAAATCTGGTGAGAGTTGGCTGCGTTCTTCTCTTCCCCCATGTCTTGGTGGGATTGATCATGCCACTTTTTCTAGGCTCCCAAGGGTGGGCGAGTGTGGGATGGTGGAGAGCCAGTCCAGTGTTGTTGCCTTTGGTGCATTTCTGACATCAGATCCAGTTCAAAGTATCAAACACATTCAATCACCGTCAAATATGAAGCAGGGAATAGAGCAAGACGTCCGAGTCCTGATCCTTCTTGTGCACAGGCCCCCCCCAAAAGTATATAAGAATAAAGCAATGCTGGGATTTGGGATGTGATTCATATTGACTCTCAGCCTTTGACACTCTTCGCAGTCACGGTGGACCCAAGTGGGCCATGGATTTTCCCAATGGCTTTCCAATGGATCTCCATGTTTACCCAGTTCTTGAGCCACGGCCTTGACCAAAGCTTGCTCGACAACGTAGAACAAAGATAAGCACATGCAGAGATGATGCTCTAAACTCAACCGTGAAAAACACATACATATTAGCATCAGACAAAATCTAGTGCATACTTTTAAAAGCAGTCACAGGGTGGTCTTGGGATATTGGAAACCTGCATCAAACCTGCATCAAACCTGCGTAACCGATGGGGGCCGACCCGTCTACCGATGCCCTTTCGATGTACCGAAAACTTAAGGGAGCACGCTGCCATGCTACATTTGTACGCAAAAACTTGGTTTCTCTTCTCAGCTTGAGTTGCTTACGCCAGTATAGTATATATACAATATGCGTTGCAATACCAACAAGCTTCCAACCACTGAATAAGCTGTCTCACCGCACTGCCTTACCGATGCCCCAACCGATGCCGACCGATGCCCACTTTGAACATGTTTGTCTCCATGGAAGAGCAACTTCCCCACAACTTGTACAAGGACTACTGCATTTTGATTCGTGCCCTCACTGTTGGCATGCCAAACTATGGCAAGCTTGATGCCACCAACAAAGCTTGAAACTTACTGAGGGTAACAAGTGGGCCTGCTTTGCAGCCAACCCTGCAAACCTGACACCTGCATAGGGGGCCGACCCATTCTAGGCAATGTCCTTAGGCAATGTCCACCCGATTTTGTCCGGCACTATATATTGACTTTTACACTCCCATGGGATGTACCCCGACCCAACAAAAGTCCAATGAAACAAAGGACCCTTTTCGTAGGGGTCTTCAAGTCACCTTCACGAAAGGGGTTATCGTCGCGTCAAAAAGGGTAAACCACATATGTGTTGCAAGCAACTAAGTATGCTCAAGTGGCTTCGATATTCCAATCTCATGGCACGCTTTGTTAAAGCCGCTCAAGAAACTCATGTAAGACGGTCAGAGGTGCGCATGTCTTGCGCGCAAGTGGAAGAAGTGGCGAACCACCCCAAGCTTGATTGGATATGAGAGGATTTCGTGCTTATTTTTTTGAGTTATTGTAGCGTTTTTTGCTTCAGTGAGCACTTTGCCAAGCAACCGTCTTCAGGGAAGTTCGTTCTGTCCTTGACCCAACAAGTTGCAAATGAGGCAGAGGAACAAGTGAAGGCGTTCTGATGTGTTTTTCTTATTAGGTCTTCTGAAGACCAACAAACATGGGTGAAGGGGGAATTGGCTGTTTCACTTCAGCAGTCAGAGGGTCTCCCCATTGTATAGCAGTAGCGGTGGCTGATATGATATATGTGTTCCTTTCCGTGGTGCTGGTTTGATATGGTTTGATGCATGGTAAACTTCGTTGATGTTCAAGGCTAGCTGACAGGGACACTTGGACACTTGCCAACTGTGGCATCACGATGAATCACATCAGATTTTGTTTTCGGAAACAGTTTGTCATTCGTGCCAATGACTCATTGCGGATGAATCAGAAAGATCTCCAAGTGTTGGAACTGTTCGCAGCCTCGCATGGATCAGAAGAGACCCCGCACAACTTGACTCTTCTCCGCATTGCCACTACAAGACATCGCTGCCACACTGCCTACAAGGTGGACTCATTCTTTTCATGGTGACGACCTGGCCGTATTTCTTCGCCAGCTACAAGTTCTACAAGCAGATCCCACCACGTCCGCCACCTGTCCCACCACCAAGTCTGGCTGCTTTGCCGGATCCAGGCGTCGCAGAGAAACCACCACAACAACCACCTCACCCGGTCGGGAGGGCGCCGTTGGAGGGCTGTTGGATCGTCGAACACCGAGGGGTCGTTCCCCGGAACGACCCGTCGGTGGTCGTTCCCCAAAAGGGGATCCCATGGGACCCATCGGAATGGTGGCGAGCCGCGAGCCGTGCTGACGTCTGATTGTGGCAATGTGAGCATCGTGGCAATTGACAACCTCTAGAGGAGCTTAAGGATCCTTAAGGGTTCTTGAGGTTACAAACTTTGAAGGAGGGGTGCATCCTTGACGTAATAGACTGTTGATCATAGAAACCAATATGACGAGGTTTTCTGATTCAAGGTGGTGGGGGGGTCAACGAATACAGAGACGACCGATACCACGGTGAGACCTGACCGGAGCCGATCCGGGGTGAAATGTCTCTGAGGCTTACTATTTGTTCACTCCCCAAATACGCATACAGCTCGTTTTGGGGAGGAGAAGCATGTGAGAATAGATTGTACCAACTACCCATGATACTCCACAAAGTCCTACAGCCTGTGACCGCAAATCAGCATATGATGAGATGTCAAAAACCTTTTGTGAAAGGAGGCGCACAAAATGGTTGGGTTGTTGATTTTTCGTATTCGTTTAGTAGCGGGCCCCCAGCAGAATTAAGCAAATCACCAAGGCAGCGCTAGATTGGCGCTAGGTTCGCGGTTGATTTTTTACTTGTCGCATATAGATGTGTTTAGAATCAACATGATTCACTTGGTTTGGTTGATGAAATCCTGCGCATCTTGCGGGGGAATGGTGCAACTGCCGTAGATCAGGCTGTGTGCTGACATACTTTTGGGTATATATATATAGTAGTATACAAAGTATACTTAACTGGGGAAAATACAGAAGCGACATTAGTGATGTGTGTTTGCTGTTACCTCAAACTGGGAAAAGTTCTGAGTTTTGTGGGCTAGGTTTGCGCTAGCACAGTTCTCAAATGTGATCAGATGTCCATTTGTCCTGGAAGCGGATCTTCGCCATTACCACTTGGAAAGCTGCCTATGTACTCTTTCCCTATCAAATTCCTCACAGCATGGCTAGCTTAGACAACAAAAGATCATCAAAGAGTTATAAGAGGCCTTCGCGCTATACGTTTGCAACAATCTGCACCTTTGATTGAAATTCCTCACAGTTCTATACATCCCAGATACCCTCTCTGAAACGTATTGAACAAGAAGCGGGCCCCCATCAGAGTGACTTTTACAGCCGCTTTCAGGAAAAACCTTTTGACAACTCAAGTTGCCTTTTTATACCCTCAAAATCTTTATAAGCTGCATTTTTTGATGCTGCATCTCTAATTGCAAAAGGATGCGCGCGCGTACAAAAGTG